CTTTGGTCAAGGGGTGGAATGGGGGTGGGGCAAGGGCAGTGCAGGGGTGGGAAGAGGCGGGGCAGGGGTGGGGCCAGGGGCAGAGCACCCACCGGGCAGAGGGGAAGTCGGTGCCGATGACAACATCAGAAACATTATCTGAGAAATCTGGGGCACAGCTGGGGAACCATTGAAAGACTTGCCAGAAACAGACAGGAGTGGAGGAGCTTCATCACAGCCCTAAATGTCAGAGGCGTAATGGGAACTGACTAACTATGTCTCTGAAGGTTGAATCTGGGTTAAGTAGCCTACTAGTTGTGTAACCCTTTCTGGCCCTGTGTCACAGCGAGAAAACACTAGGCACTAAAGGTGTCTAACTTAGTATAGAAAGGCTTAAGAGGTGCCAATGGCTGGAAGTTAAATGCAGAGAGAACAAATTAATAATAAGGCACAACATATGGAAGGAAACCTTTGGAACTAACTTCCAGTGGAAGTGGTGAAGTCTCCATCTCTTGAGATTTGTACATCCAGCCTGGGGTCCCTTCTGGAAGATATGCGGCCATCAAAGACAAGTCATTGGGCTCCATAGTGGGCTAGCTGGGTGAGATTCTCTGGCCTGTGGCATACAGGAGGTCAGACTTGATGCTGTAATGGTTCCTTCTGGCCTTAAGATCTACAAATGCACCAGTCAAGGTTTCAGAGCTAGGAAGGTCATGTCAATTATCCACCACCGAACTCTATGGCCCAGGTCATAGAGTGCGTTGGTGGGAGAATTAAGTTTTCAGCCTGTACATCTGGAGAGCTGTGGTCTTCCACTGTGGCTGTAAACCAAACCCAGAGGGAATCATTGTCTCTGGGCCACGATGTTTCAATAACTGTAGTTTCCCAGATAAAGCGGAGTGGGACTGTAATCCTGATGTCCCTTTGAGTGCCCAGGTGTGTACAAAATTAAGGAGGCTCCAGGCCATTTCCCAGGCGATGTTCATGCCATTGACAAGACACATGGACAGGCTCAGGGAATGCTGGGCTGTGAGTCCTTCCAACTCTTGGGAACGGGTTCCCAATGGAGCCCAGGCTGGTGGTGGGTGAAAGGGGCTCTGACTGAACGGTATCCCATGTGGGATGAGTTGGGAGAGGTCTTTACTCAGTCCCCATGACACAACCACATAGACGGCTGAAGGAATTAGAAATGGGCCATGGAGACGTCTGCCTACAGGGACAGAGGTCACTGCTGTGTGATGGTGGCAGAGTCGCCCCAAGGGAGAAGTCAGTTGGGGGCCATCACGTCTGTTCCAGTGTCTGACAATATGGGGCAGCTCAGGGTGTTGCTGATGGGCTGGCCGTGCCTTTGCCCCCTTTTCGTAGGGCTTGAGGGTGGGCTGGTCAGGTGTTGCCCAAATGTGGCGATGGGCTACAGATCTTTCCCCTTCTAGGAACATGGGTTGAAATGGAGTCCAAGCGGGTAGTGGCTTAAAAGTTGTTCCCATCAGATGGCCCCGTTATTAGGTGTATTCCAGTTGTGTGTAGAGGTCTCCACTGAGTTTGGGACCCCGATGTGCTAGGAGCTGCACAACCAGAAGAGCTTAATATCCAAACAGAGAAAGGGTGTGAAGGGAAACTGAGGCACAGAGAGGGGAGGTGAATTTCCTGAGGTTCTGCAGTGTCAATGACAGAGCTGGAAATAGACCCCTGGGGGTCCTGAGTCCCATCCTAGTGCTCTGTTCACTGCCCGTGGGATGATACGAGTTCAGGGAGGTCTCAGAAGAGCTCTGTGGGTAAATTCCCCAGGTCCCCAGAATAGGGATCGGGGGGAATTGGTGCTTCTGCTGCCCGGGAACTGGTCCCAGCACGGCTCAAGCTGGCATTGGCTGGGAAGATGCCGCTGTGTGCATGGCCTCATTGAGCTATGAATTGGCAGGTCTCAGCCCAGCTCTGTTGCTGGCCTGGGGAGGGGAATCGCATGCTCGGGGTGGCTGGGGTGTGTAAAGGAGCCAAAGGGAGTGAAATTTAATGGAAGTTGGGGCTGAAATCCCTGAGGCTGCTGTGAGAATTGCAGCCTGTGACAGGGGTCTCCCCCTGCAGCCTGCCCGGTCTCCCCTGGCAGGGAGCCCTCTGTCTCTGGCCCTGGACGGGGATCTCCTGCCCAGAGCCCAGATCGGAGCTCCCCGCTGTGCCCACTCAGCTCCCTGGGTTAACGAAGAGGCCTCTCTAACCGGCACGTTTGTCTCATCCCCAGCTCCTCACTGCCTAGTGGAGGACCAAGGCATCCCTGTTGAAGGAGGAGAGGAGGAATCTGACGGTCTCTGGACACCTGTTGCCTTCATTGCTCTCTTCCTGCTCAGCCTGTTGTACAGCGCCGGCGTCACGCTGCTTAAGGTAAGAGCAACAGCTGCCTTCATGGTCCCGCGTCACCGCTGAGAGCAACAACCCGTGCTCAAGAATCGATCCCACGCCATCAGCATGCAGCCAGCCGCCATCACCATCACCATCACCACCCATAGTCAGTGATTGTCAGAGGCCAGAGCCAAGGGCGAGAGCCACAGTCAGGAATTGGAGCCCAGGGTTAGGCGCAAGGCTGGACCCAGACGGGAAGAAGGCAGGAGCTGGGCTGGAACAAGCAGTCACAGCTGCTATCGCAGCCCTGGGGAAATTCTTTGGGCAGCTGCTTAACTTCTGCTGGGCTCATGAACCGGGCTGCTGACTCTGCCAAGCAATCAGGGGGGAGCCAATCAGGCAGCCGGCTCCAGGCCAGGTGCGCACGTCAGGTTGCCTGGGACTGGCTCTGCTGCCAGCCCTGATTCCTGACAGTGACCAGCGATCAATGAGAGAGAATCAGGAGCGATTACTTATTAATAATCCACCACCCGTCATCACTAATGAATGTGCTGCCATCAAGGTTAATGCACCAGTGATCAATACATGAGAATCAACAGTCTATTATCAATTCCAATTATTTATCACTGAGAAATCAATAATCACGGATTGGCTATCCCTGGTCAGTACCTAGTGATCTGTACTTAATGCTGAATAGCCATTAATCTGCAATTAATTATCAATAATCAACACTCACAGATCAGTAATTAATGTTAAAGAATCGAGGATCAAGCATCAATAAGCTGCTAATAATTATCAATTGATAAGAATCACTTGTCAATAATGAGGAATTAATGATCAATGACCAAAAATGAATGATCCCTAATTAAGAAGCAAGAGGAAATGTTCCAAGAGCAAGGCTCAATGAGCGTCAATCAATAAGCACTCAGCTGTGATCACTAAGGATCAGTGGTCGGGCCCAGAAGCACAAAGGGCCAGAGGTGCCCGTGAAGCCGGTTCTGTGCCGGGCCGCGTTGCAATGGGGCTGGTACCAGAAGCAGGGAGAATCGGTGGAGGCAGCTGCGGCTCCCCAGGGACTTGGTGTGCGGCACCCGCTGGGCAGTGGCCGTTCCCTGAGGCGGTTTGACAAGGCTGGTGTCTCTGTCTGGAAGATGAGCTGCAGCTGAACCCAGACATCCTGGCAGGACGCAGGCATGGCTGGGCGAGGCTAGATGGTCCCAAGGGTCCCTTCTGGCCTTGCTCTCCCAGCCGAGGATGCTGCCCGTGAGCGGCACCGGCTGAACCCCTCTGCTCTCTGTGTCCCACAGGTGCGGTGAGTGCCCGGCTCCGGGCTCCTAGGAGGGGACAGCACTGCTTCGTCCTCTTCATTCCCTCCCTCCATCTTCAGCCCTCCCGGGCTCCGGCCCCCTCTCCGGACACCGGGAGGCACCATGTTCCACGGCAGCGCGGAGGGCGTGACAACGGCCGCTGAAGGGTCTGAGCTCCGCAGAACCCAGAGCAGGGAGGGCAGAGTCCTTCCCCGGACGTCCCCGTGGGGCAGCCCACGCTGGAGCTTGAGCTCAGCCCCGTGCCCCTCAATCCTCCACCCCCATCCCACGGCAGGGACTGGATTTCCTTGTGTGTCTGTGTGTGCAGGGCTGTAGTGTCCTGAGGGCTGGTCAACGTGGACTCTGGCGAGGGAGAAGAGTCTCGTTTGCTCCATCGTTTAACTTGCAACTTACACGGGAATTGTGAGATTGATCGAAAATAAAAGGAGTTAAGAATGGGTGGCTGCATTTCAGGGTGGTTTGGGGGATTTAACCAAGGAGAACGGTACCCACTGTATGTCCCAGCCCCGTCTACGCATCTATCTATCTATCCCAGCTCTATCTACGCATCCGTCCATTCTCAGACATGCACAAATCTTTCTTTCTGTCTTTCTTGGCTGATCAGTGGTATTCCCTGCCCCAGAGATCTCCCCTTAGTGCCCCTCAGTCCCAGCTCTCTGGGTTCGTAGCTAGGCCCCCGTCTCCCATTGGGGCCAGTGCAGCGGGCATCCTTCATTTTATTCTCCATGCCGGAAGGCGCCCCCTACAGACACGACATGACCCTCTGGAGGGTGTCCGGGGTCCCTGAAAGTCGGGGATGGAGCTTGTGAATGAGATGGAGCCTGATTTGTATATTTATTTATTTATTTATTTATTGTCACTCAGTGTACACAACAAAAGTCACACCCACACACACACCACACACAAAAATCCCAATGAAGAGCTAAATATGCAACATACAGCACGACAGACACAACTCTGGCTATGGTCCTGCCCCAGGGCGGGGGGCTGGCTGGCGCAGGGGGTGGGGAAGGGGATATGGGGCCTTTCCGCTCTAGGGGGTGCTGGCTCTGATCCAGTCCCAGAGCAGGGGGCTGTTGGGCTCAGGAGGGTGGGAAGTGGGACTCGGGTTGTTTCCTCGCTAGGGGCGCTGGTTCCCTGCATGGTACGAGTTGTCCGGTCTCAGCCCAGCTCCCAGTGGGGCAGCGTCCCCAGTGGCTGAGGGCGGATTAGGCCATGTGGGATGAGCTCCTCGCTTCCCCCAGGGGGTCTCCCAGAGGCACAGCAGTGGTGGGGGGCAGCTGTGGGACTCAGGGTGGTGTCACCAATAGAGCCGGGAGTCCCGGCCCCTTGTCTCCGGGCGGACGGGGGCAGCGGCCCCTACACCACGCGCTGGACAGCGTTCTTGTACTCGGGGCCCCTCGCACGCCTCAGCTGCACCACGGTGGAGAACAGCCACTTCACCTGCAGGGGCGGCAGAGGGAGCAGGGGTGAGAGGGGTCAGCGCTGGGGGAGCTGCTCGGTCTGTCTGTCTGTGTCATCCCTTCCTGCTTTTATGTCTGTGTCTCATTCACTCAGTCTCTCTTATTCACCTATTCTTCTTTCTCTTTCCTTCTTCTGTTCTTTCTTTCCCTTCCAAGCTGCCCTCTACTGAGCTAAACTCGTTCATTCCTTCGTTCCTATGTTCTCTCTCTCACCTTGAACAGGGTCACGGTGGCACTGTAGCAGACGCTCAAGAGGAAGAGGGTTATAAAGACTGAGAGGCTGGACCAGAGGCCATCAAGCTCTTCATCTCCGTCATCGCTGCAAAACTCACCCGACATGATCATCTCTGTTTGGGGGAGAGAAAGAGACATCAACTCCGACTCAGCCACTGTGACAGAGAGAGCTCGGACTCTGCATCCAACATCAACCCGCCTATCCCCTTCTCATCCTTCCATCCCTCCACCATTCCCTCTCTAGACATATCCAGCCATCCTAAACCACACACCCCTCCACCCATCCATCTCTAGACCGACCCTGCCATCCATCCATCCATCCATCCCTAGCGATGTCCTGCCCACCTATCTGTGTTAAGATACAACCATCCATCCATCCCTCCATACACTCCCATACAGCCCTCACCCGACCCATCCATGACCACACACCCCTCCCCCATCCATCTCTAGATACAACCATCCATCCATCCCCACCCACCCCCTACCTATCCATCTCTAGATACAACCATCCGTCCATCTCTAGATGCAACCATCCATCCATGACCACACACCCCTCCACCCATCCATCTCTAGAAACAACCATCCATCCATCCATCCATCCATCCCCACCCACCCCTCTACCCATCCATTTCCAGATACAACCATCCATTCATGACCACTCACCCCTCCACCCATCCATCTCTAGATACAACCATCCATCCATCCCCACCCACCCTCTACCTATCCATATCTAGATGCAACCATCCATCCATCCCCACCCACCCCCTACCTATCCATCTCTAGATACAACCAACCGTCCATCTCTAGATGTGACCATCCATCCATGACCACACACCCCGCCACCCATCCATCTCTAGAAACAAACATCCATCCATCCATCCATCCCCACCCACCCCTCCACCCATCCATCTCCAGATACAACCATCCATCCATCTTTACCATCCATCCATCCCCACACACCCCTCCACCCACCGATCCATGACCACACACGCCTCCACCCATCCATCCCTATACACAACTGTCCATTCATCCAACCATCCATTCCACACATCTTCACTCACTCTCTCCATTTTCACACATTCTCCATCCCTCCATTCCCACAAGCGAGGTGGCTCAGGATCCCTTAGAATGTGTGTGAGGTGCTGGGATGCAGCAGCGATGGGGGAGCCCCCTAAAGACCAGGATGGATGGATTTCATGTGTGTTCCTCTATGACGCTGATCCCAATGTACCTAACACTCAGGAGTTGCTTCAGATGGAACACAGCCGCCTCTGGGGCTGTTTATTTAGGGCTCCCTTGGGTGGCACTGGGATGGTGGCATCTGGTGGCTGTTCATAGGGGGCTCTCTCGGCCGGCACAGAGATGTGGCCCCCTTTGGTGTGGGACACAGGGGCTGTTTAGATAGGGACCCCTTGTCCAAATGCCAAGCTGTAGCTGACATGGGGGCTGCGGAACAGTGTCGCTTTGAGGAACAGAGCCATGAGTAATTTAATGGTGGGGAGGCTCAGGATCTCTCAGAGGAAAGATGGTGCCCCCTGCAGGATGGCGCCCCCTAGCACAGCAGTGGGGGCATTGAGGTCAGCTCTGACTGTGGGGGGAGAACCCTCCATACTGAGTCCACTGCCATGCTCCCTGCAGGTGTGCATGGCTTCTGGATGACGCAGGTCTCATTCCCTATGTAAAGGGGGATCCAAGGATTTGGTTGGAGTTGGTAGCTGCTTCTTAGAGACGGGTGAGATATCCCCATATAAACTGACCCCCGCATACCCCACCCAAGAGTCAGACATGTCTCAGTGCTCGGTGAGGGGTCCGTGTATAAACAGCCCCCATGTTCCATCCCAGAGGGGAAGCAACTCAGCACAGGGTGAGGGATTCCTGTAACACCTGTCCCAGAGACGGCTGCCTCTTAGAGCTGGCTGAGAGTGGAGGGAGACCAGGCTGTGTGGCTGCTTCTGGGTGCATGTTTGTGTCTCTCTGTGTTGTGTGTCTCTGTGTGTGTACAAACATCACCGCCCAGGCGGGAGGGTCTCTGGGTCATGCTGTGTTACATGTGTGTCCATCTGTACCAGATTGAGCTCTCTCTCTCTCTCTCTCTCAGCAACCACTGCAGTCTCCTACTTTGTGTGCCCCTCCCTGCTAGCAACTGCACGGCCCCAGGAGAACAGCCCTCACACTGCTGCTGCTGGCTACGCACCCTTTAGCACCATGCGTGGAGCTCTGTCCTCGGCACTGGTGTGTTCGAGCCCTGCGCTCGCCCATCCAGCCCTGGGGCCGACACACACACACACATGTGCGTGTATGTGTGTGGGTGCCCTGTTGGGGCTAGGTAGGAGACAGGGCTCGTGTGTGGGGCCATAGAGGAGTCTGCCTCCTGTGTCCCACCCCACTGCCTGGGCCCCCTATGTCACCGGAGCTCGTGAGACTTTAGCTGAGCCCTTGCTTAGTGTCTGCTTCAGATAACAGCCCTACTGCTGGTGCTGCTTTGCGAGCACTGGGTGCCAGGAGCTGATCCCTGGTGCGGGGTGTTTGCTGTCTGTTGTTCTACCACCCCCTCCCCAGTTTCCACAGAGGGTCGGGGGTGGAGGGAGACCCCTTAGCCTCCTAGCCAGTGGGGGAGGTGTGTTTAGGGGTCGGGGAATTTGAATTGCCCTCCCTCCACTGATTCTGTCTGGAAACTCTCCCTGCTCCTCTCTGGGGTGGGATGGGATGTGGGGTAAATGCTGACCCTGACACAATGCCCCTCTGGGCATACAAAGGTTCTAGCTTAGAGGACCTTGCCTCAGTGGGATCCTAGGGATTGCTTAGCCATCCATCCATCCTTCTTCATCCATAACCATCATCTACCCATCCCTCCTGATCTGTACCATCCATCCATCCTTGCTCATCCCTCACCATCCATCCACCCTCATCTGTATCTTCCATCCACCCACACTGATCTGTACCCATCCATCCATTCTTGTTCCTAACCATCCATCCATCCAATGTCCTGTCTGTCTGTCCATCCATCCTCATCCCTCACCATCCATCTCTGCAACCCCTTGCACTTATCTATATATCCCTTTCAGTATTCATCCACCCCTATCCCTCCATCACCATTGGTACCCATTGACACTAATCCATTCATTGCCATCCATCCTTTCCCAAATATATGTAGTCAGCCATTATCATATTTACCCATCCTTTCATCTCCATCTATCACTCATTCACTATGGAAAACAACCCATTCATCCATCCACCTGCCCATCCCCATCGGTACCAGTCCAGTGCCATATGTAACTACCAATCCATTGACATTCATTTATACATCCATTCATCCCCATCTCCTCCTGTCCATCTATGACAGTCCATCTATTTATCCATCCATCAATCCTTCAGAAAGTGTACCCATCCAACATTCACCATCCATCCATCTATACCCCCACACGCACCCCTCTATCCATCCGTCCACCCATCTGCGGATCCCCATACACTTTTTCTATCCCTCGGCATCTGTTTATCCATTGGCATCCACCCTCTTTGAGTCATCCAACCATCATTCCCTGAGTGCAGTGCAGTCTAGTTGCAGGCACACTGGGTGGGCCATTCAGGACACCTGGATTCTGTTTCTAGCTCTGTCATTGACATGCTCGGTGATTTTGGGCAGGTCCCTTCCACTCTTGGTACCTCTGTTTCTCCTCCTCCTCTTTCTGTATTTAGGTTGTGAGAAGGACTGTCTCCCACTGTCTGTGCCGTGCCCATCCCAACAGGGTCCTGGTCTCAGTTGGGGGTATAGGAGTTAATTTAATCCAAATAATGATCTTTCTATTTCTCTCCTCCTCCTTGTGATATCTCTTGGTGATATCTCCTGCCCCCTGAAGTATGTATCCGTCTAATCATCTCTTTGAACACCTGGCCTTCCAACTGAGATTGGCTTGAATTTGTCTGTTCCTCTGCAGTATGTCCGTGTGTATATGTGTAACTGTGCATCTACCCCCCTCTCCATCACTGTTTCCATGCTGTGTCTGTACTCATGCATGCATTCATCCTTCCTTAAATGGCATGGACCCACATATCTACCTATCCTTCCTTCCATGGCATCTACTCACCTTTCCTTTCATGGAATCTACCCATGTATCTATGTATCCATCCATGGTGTATATGTATCCACCCATACAGGATCTGGGTATTAGCACCCCCAGCCTTATAGCATCTCGGTTTCTCCCAGCCTGCAACTTGGGACCTCGTCCACCTTGAGTGACCTGCAGTTTTCACCCAGTGACACCACAACAAGGAGACCTGGGGGTGAGCTCAGACTAGTTCCGTTTATTCACTTGTCGTCACTGAGGGCACACAGATTATTTACAGGAAGCTGTACTGGACAATGCTACCAGTGGGGCTGGGAGGAGACGTCTTCATTTACCAGAGACTTTGCTGATGCTGCGTTGGGTGAACTTCATCTGCAGGGCTTCGTGGATGACCATGCAGGTGTAGGTGTCCCCGCTGTTCCAGCTGGCCTTGCTGACTTTCAGCTTGCTGTAGAGGAAGAAGTTCGAGTCGCCATCTTTGTCCTTCATGGGCGGAGTGGTGATGTTGTCAGTCTCCTTTTCACCTTCATGGTTCTTCATCCACTGCACCGAGATGTCCTCGGGGAAGAAGCCCCGCACCAGGCAGGTGAGGCTGACGGAGTCTTCTTTGCTCCTTAGCTCCTCGTTGTGGGGGCGCAGGAGGTAGACACCCGGGGTGGAGTGCTTTCCTTCGGTGGATGGGGATGGAGGACACAGATGAGCCAAGCACATTACTCATCTGGGGCACATGGGGATAAGGATGGGGTGTGTGTGTGTGTGTGTGTAGGATGGTAGGAACATCCCCTCTCTCCTTCAGGATGGAGGGGCTAGGGACTGGGAGCTGGTATCTCTGGAGCACAATTTGAGGGTGTGGATTTGGGGATGGAAAGGGACTCAGGGGCCAGGATCCCAGGTTGTTGGGGGTTGGGGCTTCCTCTTAAGGAGCATCCCCCCCTGTTGGGGGTGGGGATAGGGGAGTCTTTCCCCTTAGGGACCCTGAGCTCCTCTTACCTGGCTTCTTGGAGATGGATTTGATGAGGGGCGAGGGTAGCTCTGAGTGCTCCACTTTGCAGGTAAAGGTCTCTCCATCCTCCCAGTCGCGGGTGAAGATGGGCATGGAGCTGGAGGCAGTGAAGGTGCCGTTGAACTGGTCACCGATGTCCAGCTGATCAGGGCTAATGGACTCTGGCTTCTCCCGGGACCAGACCACCCGGAGGCCGGAGTCGCTCGGCAGGTTGACCACCAGGCAGGTGAGCATGGGTCTCCGGGTCACGTACAGGGCGGTGGGGGATGGGGGCACCAGGAAGACTTGGATGTCGCTGGAAGATGTTGTTTCTTCTGGGGATGGGAGAGCCTGGGTCAGCCACTACGCTGGGTCTCCCCTGCCCAAGCCCATCCTGGTCTCCTCTCATGCCCTGTCTCCTAAAAAGCCCATCCCAGTCTCCCCCCACCACTCCTCTCCTGCCTCGAGCCCAGCCCGGTGCCCCCTCCCCTTCCTAGGCAGCCTGGCCCCGCTCAGTGTCACCTCTGCACTTGTGGGCGTGGTCCTGCTTTTTGCTCCCAGTGCCCGGGTGGTACACCTGGCAGGTGTACGTCTTGCCCTCCAGCCACTCGTCCTGGGAGACACTGGCATTGCTGTGGGTCCTGAAGGTGGGGCCATCAGCGTCCTTCTTGGCAGAGTCGGTGTCACCAGAAAGTTGCCCGGGCTTGCCGTCCACCAGCCATTCCACCGTCAAAGGCTTGGGGTAGAAGCCGGAGATGAAGCACACCAGCTGGATGGCACCTGGCTTGCTGTTGCAGGAGGAGTGGAGGACGTGCACCTCGGGTTCAATGGGGATGGGCTCTGGGAGAAGGGTGGCAGGGGTTAGTTGTTGTACAGACCCCTCCTGGGCCGCCCTCACTCCCTGCAGCACAGTGCCCCCTACTGAGCCCCAGCACCCTGTTGTCCACAGCATGGCGCCCCTTACTGAGCCCCTGACTCCCTGCAGCACTGGGCTCCCTACTGAGCCCTCTGCCCCTTTCCCTGCATTGCAGCACCCATCGCTTCTCTTTGCATGGTCTCTCTTTTTGTCCCTCCACCCTTTGGTGCGTGGTCTCTCTCTTTCCATACCCAACACTATCTACCTGTCCCCATTCACTCCCATCTCTCTGTGGTGTCTCTCTCTCTCCATCTCTCCTCCCACAGTGGTGACTCCCTCGGCTCACAGCACTGGCAGGCTCCCATCCTCTCTCCCTGCACCAGTCACCAGATCAGGGAGCTGAGAGACCCCCAACCCCTGCCCTTCCCCCCTAGGCTGTCCCTACTTGGGATTTCCTTGGAGATGCTGGAGCTGGTGGGCTGGTGTTGTACGTTGCAGCTATAGGTGTTAGACTTCCAGCTGCTGGCCGGGACGGTGACCTGGCTGCTGAGCGCGTAGAGGCCGCTGGAAGGTTGCAGCAGGGAGGGATAGGTCTTCACGCCCGAGGGGGCGACGCTTGGGCTCCACGTCACGGTGACCGGCTCGGGGAAGTATCCTTTGGCCAGGCAGCCGAAGGTGACCTGGGGGGTGTCGTCGCCGGTGCAGGAGGTCAGGGGGAAGACAGACGGGGCCGTGGGGCTAGCTGCAAAGGGAGAGAGAGCGAGGCCATGAGACGCAGCCCCTACCCCGCTCCATGCAGCACGGGGGCCCTAGCGTGGCACTGGGCCCAGCACTCAATGCCGGGGGAGAGCGTCCCCTAACGGAGCCCCACTCTCTCCATTCAGCACAGCAGACAGCTTGTGGTGTGACTGTTGACAACTGCAAGTTCTTGTTAATGTCTGTGTGTAAGTGGGTGCCTGAGATTGGAACCCCCCGTCTTTGAGGTTGAGTCACAAAGTGACCAGGAGCAGGGTCCCCAATTTAACTTGTGTTGCACAGACCCTGTTGTACTAGTGATTTTAGCTTGGGTAAATGTTATATTCTCATTAGGTTCCTAGGCAGTAACATCTTTGGCCCCTACTGGCTCGTAAGCATTTCTATGGCTCAAACGCACATTGTTAGATATCCCCAATGAGTTCCCAGGACATTACAAGAAAGACTGGGGCTGTTCAAGTCAACCCAGGATATATGGGCCCTTTGGGTTAGAGTTCGGGTTATCATTATACATAGGGGAGGAGGATTAAGGGTTAGGGTTAGGTGCTGGGGTTAAGGGCTAGAGGTTGCTGGGGTAGAATTAAGGGTGATGGTTTAATGGTTTGGGTCAAATACCTTTCCACTCTCAAGTTCAATATTTGTTGTGTTATGATTGGATTTCTAGCCAATTTTGTAGTCATTCAACCATCAGATTCCTACCGGGTCTGATGCCATTTCTCAGAGGGAGTTAGTGAAACTCTTGGTTCCTAACCCAAGGGACTAATTTGCAAGTTCTGATAGTTCTTGTTTTGGGATGCTTGATACTAGACTGGAGATATCAAAACTCTGGTGCTTAGAGGGTCAAGGTGGGGAGGTTAGGGTTAGAGCTGGGGTTATGGTTAGGGGTATAATTAGTCGTTAGTACTTGTATCACAGCAGTCTAGAAAACCCAATCTAGGATCAGGGACCCATTGCACCGGGAGCTTTACAGAGAAATAAGAATGAGGACTCTACTGATCCCAGGACCATTGCAGCCTAAGCGATCTAAAGTCAGGGTTGGGGGGATAAGGTTGGGACGTTAGGGTTAGGGGTTGGGTTTGATGAGAGGGTCAGAGTTGAGGGTCAGAGTTAGGGAGTAGGGGCTAGAGAGCCGGGGTTCAGGATGAGGATAGGACTATAGGGAAAGGGCGAGGATTAGGGTGTTGGGGTTAAGGAGTTGGTGCCTCTGTCCACTGGGGTTAGGGTCCTGGTTAGGGAGTTAGGACAGAGTTGGGTGTCTAAGTAGTTGGGTTTAAGGTTTGGTTTAGGGTCAGAGTTCTGGGGTTAGAGTAAAAATCCTTCCTTCCCCCAAACTCAGTAGTCGACTGGTTTTCACGTCCCCTCGCGCACAACCTTTCTAGCCAGATTCCCACTCAAGAAACACTCATATTCTAACCAATTTGGACGAAGATTTTGCTGGACACTTTCCTAAACTCTACAGGAGAAATCTCCCAAGAATTTCAGTGGCCTCACTTTCTAGAAGCCCAAACTTGAGGTGCATTGGGGAGCAGTTACCGGGGTCTGCATCTCCAGTGGGCTTTAGCCGGAGACCTCAGAGCTCATCCCCCCTGGAAAGGAAGCCCGACGCGTCACCAGCTGAATGCGCCGCAAAAACGGAGCCAACTCAACTGAAAGGCCAAATTAGGAGCCTGAACTCTGAGCTGTTGCCTGAACAGGGGCTGCCAGTTACGTCCAGCCCCAGGCAGCCAAGCTGACATCTAGCTGTGCTGGGAACTCCCCACGCTCGGCCCTCAGCATGGAGCATGAGCACAGAGCTGGTGGAGGGAGGCTGGGACGGCTCAGAGAGACATGTTCCCACACTCGGTGAGTTTAGGGTTTTACCTCTGACAAGGGACATGCTAAAGGGAAATTTATGCCCCAGTTTAGAAAGTTTTTGGTTGCAGATATTTGCGACTGGGCTAAAGAGAGGAGACAACAAAAGCCCCTTAGAAACAATTCAGCTGTTCCCCCAAACCTCTAGTTTCAGCCCCCCAACCCTGAGCACCCCATGTCTGCTTATGTCCCTGAGTCCTGACCCCCAGCCTCCTGCTAGCCCAGCCCTGCCCCCCACAACTCTGCCAGTGCCCCTCACTGCTGACCTGCAGCCCCTGCTAGCCCAGCCCTGGGCTCCCCCCAGCCCTGCCTGTGCCCCTCACTCCCATCCCACAGCCGCCTGCTATTGCAGCCCTGGCCTCCCCCCAATTCTTCTGGTGCCCCTCACTCCCAACCTGCAGCCCCTGCTAGCCCAGCCCTGCCCCCCTGAGCCCTGCCGGTGCCCCTCACTCCTGACCTGCAGCCCCGGCTAGCCCAGCTCTGGGCTCCCTCTACAGCTCTGCTGGTTCCCCTCACTCCCGACCCACAGCCCCTGCCAGCACAGCCCTGGGCTCCCCCACAGCCCTGCCGGTGCCCCTCACTCCTGATGTGCAGCCCCTGCTAGCCCAGCTCTGGACCCCTTTCAAAGCTGTTATCCCAGCTTATAGGTGGAGTGTGAGATAAGCACCTCTGTTCCCCTGTCTCTGTGGGGGGCGGGGGGCACAGCGCTGCCTGTGTTACCCATCCCGACCTCCCCAGCATATCCAGGCTCTGCAGGGGAGCCATGTTCTGCACCCTGCCCTGGTTTTGGGTCCACACAGGGGGATGTACCCCACTGCCCTTCATAGGTGAGAACAGAGCACAACAGTCCTGGCTCCCAGTCCCCACGCTCTAAGTCACTAGACCCCACAGCCCTCCCAGAGCTGAGGAGAGAACCCAGGAGTCCTGGCTTCCAGCCCCCACTGCTCTACCCACTTGTCTCAGCTCCCCTCCCAGAGCTGGGGATAGAACCCAGGAGTCCTGGCTTCCAGCACCATAGAGTCATAGAATCATAGAATATCAGGGTTGGAAGGGACCTCAGAGGTCATCTAGTCCAACCCCCTGCTCAAAGCAGGACCAATCCCCAATTTTTGCCCCATCCCTAAATGGCCCCCTCAAGGATTGAACTCTGAACCCTGGGTTTAGCAGGCCAATGCTCAAACCACTGAGCTATCCCTCCCCCCACACCACTCCCGTTCTAACCACCAGACCCCACTGCCCTCCCAGAGTTGGGGAGAGAACCCAGGAGTCCTGCTCCCCTCTCTTCAAAGTTTTCTTCCCTAAAGGTGCTCACTCTGATAGGGTTAAAACACCCCCTGTACTCACCCCAATAGCAGCCGCTTTCCTCTAATTTACTCACCAAATTATCAGCCATGGTGGGTTGCAGCCCGGCCCTGGAGACCGGGGGTTCTGTCCATGTGTCCCACTGTGGTCTGTGTCATTTGGATTGTTCATCTGAGGTTTCTTTGCCTGTCGGACATCCCCTCTTCTTCCCCCACAATGGTCATCAAAGATAATTATAGGTTGTTATCTACCAGTGACGCCCACTCAGGAGCTTTTAGTGTTGAAGCTGGTGAGAAGGTGTGAAATTGGATTGGATGGGGCGAGTGCTGTTGTGAAAAAACAACTTTCACTTGTCTCAACTTCCCCTTTTTGGCCCATATTGGTTGTTTGTTGGTTTTCACCAGAGATTCAGTCATGAAGCCTGCAGAGCGCAGAAAAGATTGAAGTCTCTGGTGTGTGTGTGTGGGGTGTCTTTTAGAGAACCTGCCATGGGGGGCGTGTGTGTGAAAAAACAGACTTTACTGCTGTCCTGGAGCTGGGGATAGAACCCAGGAGTTCTGGCTCCCAGCCCCGCCATTCTAAGCCACAAGACCCCACTCCTCTCGTAGGTCTGGGGATAGACTGATCCTGGAAAGGGAAGGATAGTGAGATAATAGCTATTCAAATGTTTCCTTGCAGCACATCTCTCTGTATGCATCACAAGCTCTTCAAGGAGTGAGTGATCTAGTGGGTTTGTGTGTGTATGGGGGTTGGGAGCCAGGGCTCCTGGGTTCTCTCTAGGACTCTGGGAAGGAGTGGGGTCTGGTGGAATAGAGAGGGGAGCAGGCTGACAGCCAGGGCTCCTGGCTCTGTAGAGCCCCCTATGAGGTTGGAGTCCCACCATTCTTTGGGTTTAGGATTCTCAGTTCTTAACGTCCTGACTTGCCTTTCTCTCTGACAGAGCTCCCACAACCCCCCTCTGTGTTCCCTTTGTTCCCCTGTTGTGACGACATTGCTGGGAGCTCCACTTGTGAGGTGACTGTAGCCTGCCTCGTGACTGGCTATTTCCCGGAGCCCGTGGACATCAAGTGGAATTCTGGCACAGTGACCAATGGGATCAAGACCTTCCCAGCCGCGGCACAGAGCAGTGGCAGGGCCTTCACCCTCATCAGCCAGCTCACCGTCCCTGCCTGGGACCTGGTGAACAACACCTACCAGTGCAGTGTGGAGCACACTCCCTCCCATAAAAAGATAGATGTGGAGATCACGAATGGTGAGCTACATTGGGATGCCAGAGAATGAAGAAAAGACTGAGGCAGAAGTGTGCAATAAAGTGTCAGAGGGAGTGGGGCAATAGAATGACAGAGTCCATGGAAGGGAGGATAGAGAAGAAAAGGGATGGATGTATGGATGGAGAGTGAAGAGGGAAAGATGTAGGGAGTGAAAGAGAGAGGGATGGATGGTATGGAGAGTGGGCTAGGTGGGTGGACAGATGGAGATACAGAAGTATGGATGGATACAAGGAGGGATGGCTGGAGCAATGACCTAGGCAGAGTGATAGATCGATGAAATGGTGCAGAGGGAAGGAAGGAGGGAAAGGTAAAACTTTCCTCTCTCAGTTGTCATTCAGGACTTGAGCACATTGTCCTCAGAGCTGTACAAATGCAATTGATTCATGCCTCTGACCTGGTATCCATTTTCTCTCTTTGCTCCCAGTATGTGAGGCTCTCATTCATCCTGAGGTTCGCCTCCTAGGCCCCTCCTGTGAGCGCAACACCTTGGAGAAGCAGCTGGAGGTGGTTTGCCTCCTCCTGAGATTCAGCCCCGGTGCAGCCAAAGTGGAATGGCTGGTGAATGGCGAGAAGGGGAACCTTCCCACCACGGACTTGTCCATTTGGAAGGGCACAGACGGCTCCTACATGGGCCAGAGCCGAGTGAACGTCACCAAGGAGAGCTGGGAGAAGGAGGACGTCTACACCTGTAAAGTGACCCACCCAGCGAGGGGAACGGAGCACTTCATGCACAACACCAGCAAGTGCTTGGGTGAGGGGCTATGGCCATGCATGGCGGGGTGGGATGAAGGGTTACTCAAAAACCAGCCTTACCTAAGGGTAGGTGGGACTGTGCCCAGATGACATAGAAATACAATAGTGAGATGGATTCTGGGAGTGGGTGGGGAGAGGGATGGATGGATGCAGTGATAGATATGGTGGTTGGATGGATAGAGAGATAGATCCTGTGGCTAGAAGGATGAATGACTGGAAGGAAAGATGGATATGATGGTTGGATAGAAAGATAGGTATGATGGATGGATGGAGTGAGAAAGGGGATGTATATATGTGAATAATTATTAATAAATAGATGGAGCCATAGATGTTGCACAGGAAAGTGTAGATGGAGAGGCAGAAAGGGATTGTTAGATAGCTAGAAAGAGGCTTTTTTTTCAATAGTTTCTCTCTTCCTTCCTTCTAACATCCCATGAAATTGAGGGATCACAAAATTAGGGGAATGACAGTATCTCTCTAATCTTCTGTAACACCCATCACTGTAGTATCCTTCATGGCCCAGGGAATTCATGGAGTCTTCTGCTCTTCTTTCCCTATTGAGATGAGTCCTTTGTATTTCCTCAGCCTGTCTCGGTAACTCAGTGGCTCCATCCGTCTTTGTCACCGAGCCGTCCTACGATGACCTGATTGGGGAGACAGCCCGTGTGATGTGCTTGGTGCTGGGCTATATCTTGGTAGATGTTCAGGTGGCTTGGGAAGTGGATGGGAAAGCCAGCTCTGAGGTGGAGACAGGAGCCCCGGAACAAGCCAATGGGACTCAGAGCATCACCAGCACCCACAAAATAACCTTGGAGCAATGGAAGAGCAGGACCAACTTCACTTGCAAAGTGAAACTTCCTTGTTTTGGAGAAGTCACCCAGGATATGCCACTCATGGACACGAGTGAGTATGTCTGTGTTTAAGTCCTGACTCCCTTTGCAAACTCAGCCAAAATCACTTTACTCTTGCTCTGTGCCTGAGCCTGTAAAGTGGGGATAAGGCTCCTTGGTTTCTTTCAGCCAGTGTCTGTTTCTGGAACGGAGCTCTCTTTCACGTCCGTACATCACCTAGCAGGAGGGGGTTGCAGTCTCGGTTTGAGCCAGTAGACCCCACCACAATAATAGTAATGGTGAATGTTTTCAGACCAGCTTTGGCCATGGAAAATGAAGCCCTTGCAATTCACTAGAATCCATTAGGGTGGTGAGGAAATAGAGGAGGATCCATAAAAGTTAGATTCATTGAGTCTGAGGCCAGAAGGGATCATTCGGTCATCTAGTCAGACCTCATGTTTCCCTGGCCAGAGTATTTCACCTATTTACCCCTTTATCAAGTCCAGTAACATGTCTTTGACTAAAGCTTCATCTAGAGACACATCCCGTTTTGATTGGAACCCCTCAAGGGATGGAGAATTCACCACTTCCCTTGATAGTTTGTTCTGATGGTTTTCTTCCAATATTGTTGCCTTACAACGAATTTGAATGTGACTGGTTTCACTTTCCGGCCATTGGTTCCTGTTCTGCCTTTTCTGCTAGATTAAAGAACTTTTTAGTACCCGACAGTTTCTCTCTGGGAAGGTATTCATACACTAATCAAGTCACTTCTTCAGTTTGCCCTGAACTGAACTAATATAACTCCTTAAATCTCTCATTTACATCTGTTGAATCATCATTGAGGCTCTTCTTTGAGCCCTTTTCAATTTTTCAAACCACAAAGTTGTGAAATGGGTGCAAAGAAATCTAGAGATTTTAATAAATGTTGGGTTGCTTTCATTTGCTTTCTGGTTGGTGAGCCGGGAAGCTAAAGGGAGTGGGTGGGGATCATGTTTTCAAACTTTTCTTTGCAGTCAGTGGGGACAGACCCTTCCTTTTTTGATTAAATGAAAGCTGAGATTCCCTGGCCATCGCATGAGCTGTGGATTTAAGGAAAAACAGCAAATACCATAATAAATATGGCCAAGGTTGGTCACCCCTCACATGTTCGACTGAGGGACTCAGTGGAGACATAGTCCATCTCCGGGAGAGAAATTAGCTTCATATCACATCTCTGTCCCTTCCAGCCTACCCTGCCCATGAGCCTACTGTCTCAGCCAGTGTCTCCTGCCCGGACCCAGAGGAAACTCCAAGGAAGAGAGATTCCCACACGTTCCTCTGCGACGTCACTGGATTCTTCCCAGCAGACATCAGTTTCCGCTGGGAGCACAACGGCTCCATAGTTCCTGCCTCCCAGTACAGCAGTGGCCCCATCGTCAGATCTGGCCAGGCCTACTCCGCTCAGAGGATCTTGAGAGTCCCCAGGCCCAAGGGGGAAGGAGAAGCGGGGCCCCAGTATTTCTGCCTGGTGTGGCACATGACGCTGAATGAAACCTTGAAGGTCAAGGTGAAGGCAGGGAATTGTGAGTTGAAGCTTCCAAAGGGCGATGAGAGGGTTGTTCATCCCAATATGGTCAAGGCCCCATTACCCCCAGGGGCGAGTGAGGGAGCTAGCACCAGTTCAGGCTTCAGTGCTGGGGTTTCCAAAGGGATTCACGCTCTCAACTCCCACATCGGCTTGCAGTGAGAGTTGTGGTCTCAACCCCTGAGGGACCTTGGGAGACCAGCAGCCAGAATATCACTGCGGTAAAATATAAACAGCACCTTGTGCCTGTGTAGTGGGGAGGGGTTTCGGGGATGCAAGTTGTATCCTGAGCTCTGGATGTGGGATCTAGTACTTCCAGCAGGGGGCTGAGAGCCAGGACTCCTGGGTTCTATCCCCAGCTCTGGGAGGGGAGTAGTGTCTAGTGATTACAGCATGGGGGAAAGGAGTCAGGAATTACCATGGGCAGGTCATTTCTCCTCTCTGTGTCCCAGCTGCCATCTCTGTCATCTTCATTGAGCTCATGAATTTCAGGGTGGAAGGACCCTGAGTTGAGCAAACATGGCAGGTCTGTCCCCTGCCATGTTTTCCACAATGGGGCTTTCTCCCATCGGAGCCAGAGACCTTCAGATCTGCTCATGGGACCCAGAGACCCAAATAATAATAATTGGACCCAGGAATCCCAATCCCTGGGTGTGTTGGAAAACCTCAGCCGTCGTTCCCGACACCACATGAGATGAGGGTCCTTCCCCTTCCATCAGGGAACCCAGTGCCCTATTTCCCACCCCAATGACCCTCGGCCCCTTCCCAAAACAGCCTCTGGGCTTTGCACCCCTGAGACAGAGGCACTTAGTTATCAGCTGGTGCCTCTTGAGTATTCACCCATCTAAGGCCTCAACGCTGCCTCCTGCCCCCAACCAGGTGACGGAAACTGTAATCAACATCCTCTGGAGGTCTTTCTCCTTCCCCCTTCCCTGGAGGATCTCTACATAGGGCAGAACGCCACCATCAGTTGTTTGGTGAGTAGCATGGAGACCCGCGGAAGCCTGGAGGTCTCCTGGAACTGGGGTAGCGGTGGCTCATTGGCCATGGTCTCCAGGGAGCCGGTGCTGCAGGAAAATGGCACCTACAGTGCAACCATCATCCTGCGGGTGTGCGTGGAGGAGTGGCAGGCGGGGGAGGAGTTCACCTGCACAGTGAAGCACCAAGACATCCCGTCGGCCATTGTCAAGAGCATCCACAAGAGTCATGGTAAGAACCCTCCTTTCCCCCGTAGGGGCTGCTAGCTCCAAGCTGGCTGGCTCAGGGTGTGGGGAATGGGACCCAGGTCCTTTCGTCTCCAGGGGTGCTAGCTCTGATCTGGCGTCAGGTCAGTGAGACTAGGCATTACACATTTGTGGGTGGGATGAAATGTGCAAATCTATGAGACAGAAGGGGACGGAGCGTCCGGACTCCTGGTTTCTTTTTCCAGCTCTGGGAGCAGAGTGAGGGGTGGGGTCCAGTGGGTTATAGCAGGGGGGTTGCGTGGGGGATGGCAGCCAGGACTCCTGGTTCTCATCCCCCACCATTAACCCTTTGGTGTTTCCTTGTTGCAGCGGTCTCTCCCCGTAACCCTTCTGTCTACATCTTCCCTCCTCACGCTGAGGAGCTGGCTCTCCGGGAATCGGCCACCATCACCTGCCTGGCCTCCGGCTTCCGGCCCAGAGACATCTTGGTGACATGGACCCAGCAGGACCGACCCGTGCCCCAGGAAGCCTACACCAACATCGGCCCCGTCCGGGAGGCCGGGAAGGAGGAGCGCTACTTCATCTACAGCAAGCTCAATGTCTTGGCATCTGAATGGGGACGGGGGGACACGTACGCCTGCGTGGTGGGGCACGAGGGTCTGCCCATGACCTTCGTCCAGCGGAGCGTGGACAAAGCCTCCGGTAAACCCACCGCCGTCAATGTCTGTGATCTTGTCCGATACCGACGTCACCTGCTACTGAGGAGCAAAGCCGCGTGGGCTCCTCACGGCATATCTGAGATGGCCAGGGAACCTCGTGGGGTCTGGGATTCCTCTTAGCTTGTGTGTAAAGCTGTGGGAGCTCTGGTGTACAGAGCGTGGGCTGTGTGTGGAATATGCCCAAATAAAAATGCAGCATGCCAGAGTTTGTGTTCAATGGGATGTCTTCTTCTAGCAGGGGCCATCTCGATGTCTTATCCACCAGCCCAGCCTCCCTCCTACATCATCTCTATCCATTCACCACCCTTCTTTCTGAAGTATCTCTTACTATCCATCCAGTCTCCTTATGCATTATTTTATGCATTATCTAGATCTATTCATCAAAGCTTCCTTCTGCAGGATCTATCCATCCATCCTATCCTCTGCCATACCTTTGTCTGTTTTTCCCTCTTTACTAGCTGTCCATTTTCCTGCCCACGTGCAGTCTCTCTCTCTGCACTATGTCTGTTTATCCATCTTTCCCTTGGCAATATTTGACTTTGTCTGTTCTCCCTTTTGCAATCCCTGTCCATCCGTCCAACATCTGCAGTGTCATCTGTCTACCTTTGCGTCTACAACATCCATCCATCCGTCCGAAATTATGCAATATCCCCTATGCATCCCTCCATCCTCATGCAGTGTCATGAGTCTGGCTGCCCATCCCTCGGCAGTGACTTGCTATTGTTCATGATATTGCAGCTCCTAGATGTCCTGACCAAGGTTCGGGCCCCATTGTGATGGGTGCTGCATGAACACACAGAGCAAACATCCTTAATGCAAGGTGCTCACAGTCTCATCACAGAGAGGCTGGGAGGGGGTATTTTGGCACAAAAGGATTATATCTGGGATGCTCGAAGGGGTGAGACACCAATCTCCCCCTGGAATTATGAGTTTATTTCAGTGGCAACTAATTGCCTAAGAGTCCTTTAAAGACCCCAGCCCAAGTGGCTTGTCTCTGGTCACACTGCAGGTCAGTGGGAGAGGTGGGAATAGAGCCCTGATCCCCCATCTCCAAGACTTGTGTCTTAACCATTGCACCTGTCCAGCAATGTAGCCCTAGCCACTCTGGTGTCAGAACCCCTAGCAGATGCTTCCTCACCTGACCACATAAGGTGGAGGCAGAGCCTCCAGGAACCTGGTGTTATGTCTGCAGGGAGCTAGGCGGCAGGGTGAGACTGAGTTAGGAGCCTTCATTCCCCCCACCAGCTCTGTCCCCATTGTCCCTGGATGTGTGAACAGGTGGGTGGTGATCAGGGGAAGTGATTTCACTTCTGAGTACGGCACTGGGGAGACCGACACTGGAATACAGCATGCAGTTCTGGGGTCAATGTGCAGGAATGGTCAGAAGCGCTAACAGAATGTTAGGCTCCATTAGGAAAGGGACAGATAATAAGACAGTAAGTACCATATTGCCTCTGTATAAATCCACGGTATGCCCACAGCTTGAATACTGCATGGAGTTCTGGTCGCCCCATCGCAAAAGAGATATAATAGAAATGGAAAAGGTACAGAGAAGAGCAACAGGGCTATAGAGCAGCTTCCATGTGGAGAGATTAAAAAGGCTGGCACTGTTCATCTAAGGAGACAGCTAGGGGGGATTTGAGAGAGGTCTATACAATCATGGCGGGGGATGAGAAAGTGAATCAGGATGTGTTATTTCCTCCTTCACATAACACAAGAGCCAGGGGTCACTCAATGAAATTAAATGGCCACAGGTTTTAAGCAAACACAAGGAAGTACTTCTTCACACAACACAGAGTCAACCTGTGGATGTTGTGAAGTCCAAAAGCATAACTGGGTTCAGCAAAGAATTAGATAAATTCATGGAGAATAGGTCCACCAGTGGCTATTAGCCAAGATGGTCAGTGATGCACCCCTATGTTCTTGGTGTCCCTAAGCCTCTTACGGTCAGATGCTGGGACTGTATGAAAGTGGATTAATCACTCGATAATTGCCTCATTCTGGCCATTCCATCTGATGCATCTGGTATCAGCCACTGTTGGAAGACAGGCTACTGGGGTAGATGGATGACTGGTCCGATGCAGTACCGCCATTGTTATGTCAACATATTCAAAAAGAAGTTTGAAAAATCGGAGAGAGTGCAAAAGAGAACTAGAAAAATGATTAGAGGGCTGGAGAAAATACCTTCCAGTGAGAGATGGGAGGAGCCGAATCGGTTGAGCTTATGAAAGAGACATTCAAGAGATGGCTTCATTGATATGTATAAGTACCTCCATGGAGAGTGACCGGGGTCCCTGGTGGGCCATGCTGAGATGGCCCAAGTAGGGCATATTGCAAAGAATAGGGCAGACAATCCCCCAAACTGGTGGTTATTCTGATAGATTCACCAAACTAACAACAAAACAGCTTCTACAATGCCTTTCTGATTACCCAGAATCCAGAAATACAGTTCCCTTAAAGCAACCCAGCCTTGAGCTCCCACCCAGACAGCCAAGTCAAATATGATGAGGATTACGGAAAATCTTGTTAATCATATAAAAGTTCTGCCAATCCCAAGGGATCGGAGACATTGCCCATCAGGTCAATGAATATTTCAGATCTTACCCAAATAGATGCTTACAGCCAATTCTTATTAACTAAACTATAATTTATTAAAAAAGAAAAGAGAGAGAGAGAGAGAGAGAGAGAGACTTCTGGTTAAAAAGTACAGGTAGGAATAGAGTTCTTAGGTCAGTTTCATAGCAGAGATGGTTAGCTTCAGAGTTGCAACGAGTCCCTTCTAGAATCAGTTTATCAGGTTATAGTCCAATGTCCATGGCCAATATCAGGGTGATCCAGAATAGAACTGGAGGCCTCTGTCTTATGACTCAAACTTCCCCTGACGAAGCTTAAGCAGATCTGAGATGAAAGGATCAGGGCCCAAGAATTTTTATAGACCCCTGGCAGGCTACTGTCAGCCTCTTGACAGCAGGTATTCCTTGGGTGAAGGATAGTGTCTTTGAAGTAACTTCCTATTTCCTAAGCATCAGCAGTAACTAGCTACCTGGATTAACATAAAGCAATTGCCTATCTCCCACCATGTGCAGGTACTTTGCTGTATATTCTATGATTCTATATACTTCAAAGGGAATTTAAGACAGTGGTATCACTATATTCACAGTTCATTTAAATGTCAATATCTCCTTTTGATTTCTGAATCAGCAGAGTACAGTGATAGACAGGAACTGTTTGGTTACATTGTCAACCTCTAACAATATATATGTAAACACACAACACCCAAAGGCGCCGACTCTGTGGGTGCTCCGGGGCTGGAGCACCCACAGGGAAAAATTAGCGGGTGCTCTGCACCAAGCAGCAGCCAAGCTCCCCCGTCCTCGTCTCCTTCTCCCACTCCCCCGAGCGCGCCATGTCCCCGCTCCTCCCCCTCCCTCCCAGCTTCCTGCTCCCCCCTGCTGCCTAACAGCTGTTTGGCGGCACTTAGGACTTTCCGGGAGGAGGGGGAGGAGTGGGGACGCCGTGCGCTCAGGGGTGGAAGCGGAGAAGAGGCAGGGCAGGGGTGGGGACTTGGGGGAAGGGGGTGGAATGGGGTGGGAAGAGGGCCGGGCTGGGGTGAGAAAAGGCAGGGTGGGGCTGGGACTTTGGTCAAGGGGTGGAATGGGGGTGGGGCAAGGGCAGTGCAGGGGTGGGAAGAGGCGGGGCAGGGGTGGGGCCAGGGGCAGAGCACCCACCGGGCAGAGGGGAAGTCGGTGCCGATGACAACATCAGAAACATTATCTGAGAAATCTGGGGCACAGCTGGGGAACCATTGAAAGACTTGCCAGAAACAGACAGGAGTGGAGGAGCTTCATCACAGCCCTAAATGTCAGAGGCGTAATGGGAACTGACTAACTATGTCTCTGAAGGTTGAATCTGGGTTAAGTAGCCTACTAGTTGTGTAACCCTTTCTGGCCCTGTGTCACAGCGAGAAAACACTAGGCACTAAAGGTGTCTAACTTAGTATAGAAAGGCTTAAGAGGTGCCAATGGCTGGAAGTTAAATGCAGAGAGAACAAATTAATAATAAGGCACAACATATGGAAGGAAACCTTTGGAACTAACTTCCAGTGGAAGTGGTGAAGTCTCCATCTCTTGAGATTTGTACATCCAGCCTGGGGTCCCTTCTGGAAGATATGCGGCCATCAAAGACAAGTCATTGGGCTCCATAGTGGGCTAGCTGGGTGAGATTCTCTGGCCTGTGGCATACAGGAGGTCAGACTTGATGCTGTAATGGTTCCTTCTGGCCTTAAGATCTACAAATGCACCAGTCAAGGTTTCAGAGCTAGGAAGGTCATGTCAATTATCCACCACCGAACTCTATGGCCCAGGTCATAGAGTGCGTTGGTGGGAGAATTAAGTTTTCAGCCTGTACATCCTTAGAGCTGTGGTCTTCCACTGTGGCTGTAAACCAAACCCAGAGGGAATCATTGTCTCTTGGCCACGATGTTTCAATAACTGTAGTTTCCCAGATAAAGCGGAGCGGGACTGTAATCCTGATGTCCCTTTGAGTGCCCAGGTGTGTACAAAATTAAGGAGGCTCCAGGCCATTTCCCAGGCGATGTTCATGCCATTGACAAGACACATGGACAGGCTCAGGGAATGCTGGGCTGTGAGTCCTTCCAACTCTTGGGAACGGGTTCCCAATGGAGCCCAGGCTGGTGGTGAGTGAAAGGGGCTCTGACTAAACGGTATCCCATGTGGGATGAGTTGGGAGAGGTCTTTACTCAGTCCCCATGACACAACCACATAGACGGCTGAAGGAATTAGAAATGGGCCATGGAGACGTCTGCCTACAGGGACAGAGGTCACTGCTGTGTGATGGTGGCAGAGTCGCCCCAAGGGAGAAGTCAGTTGGGGGCCATCACTTCTGTTCCAGTGTCTGACAATATGGGGCAGCTCAGGGTGTTGCTGATGGGCTGGCCGTGCCTTTGCCCCCTTTTCGTAGGGCTTGAGGGTGGGCTGGTCAGGTGTTGCCCAAATGTGGCGATGGGCTACAGATCTTTCCCCTTCTAGGAGCATGGGTTGAAATGGAGTCCAAGCGGGTAGTGGCTTAAAAGTTGTTCCCATCAGATGGCCCCGTTA